CTGCAAGGTAGCAGCATAGGAAGTGCCTGAATGTGTGGTGTGTGGCATCACAGACAGCTCTGTGGCATCACATACCACATGGCCGTGCATGTCTGGACTCAGCCACTGAAGGTGTCTTCCAGGCATCTACCATTTCTGTGATGTTTCTGAGAGAGGGCAAATGGCTCTCCATTGTGGATGTATATAACCATTCTGTGCGTCATCTTGGTTAGCTTTGTCATCTGTGCACTTGTGAGATTAAGAACATGTGTTTAATCTGAGAAATAATGCCCATTCTTTTAATCGTATTAATGAAGCCATAGCCAGACCGATTGTGCATTGGCTGTGAAAGTGAATGGGTACAGTATCTGAGTTTAGAGAAAGACATCAAACAAATAGGTCATACCTATGGAGCTCGGGAGAAACATTCTAACTCACCGCAACCTGGAAGAAATGTTAGGAAAATATATTATAGATATCTTTAGGAGTAGGCTGGCACCTTTAGGTTGGACACATCTGCTTATATAAGAAATGAAGAGTGAACATTGTGTAATCCCTCAGCTATTCAGCTACTATGAAGCCTTAACACCTTTCCCAGGGGTTAATCTGTTGTTATAGCATGTTTAGAATTGTTTAGCTCTGTAAAATGACTGTATTATTCCATTTTTGTTTTATTATGTTTTGCTGCTGCTTAGTTTTTAAGTAGGAATAAGAGTACTTGAGTTTTAATTTCCTTCTCCTGCACCTACTGTTTATATTTGTATGGAAAGGAAAGTGCAAATGAAAATGTCAGAAAATAATTGTTCTTGCTAGTAGACTACACTTCCATCTAGGCTATACAGAAGCATCAGGAAAGCCATATTTAGCTCTAGGATGTTTGAACAAATCAAATAATGTAAATACAGTTAATTCTCTTGTCTTCCAAAGGAAACTGCCAGGACCATGGCATTGCCTTGCCAATTATAGGTGTACTCCATTTACCTGCCAGTCAGCAAAGGCAGCTGTAGCTTATTTTCCAATTCCCCAGTAGAGCTTACTATAGAAATATATGTTCACTAATATACAGGCAGTTCCCATTTAATACCTTTTCTTAGTCACAATACTGAAGTAACTGATTTTTAATATGCCTTAAAGCACTTAGAAATGCTGGAAGCATCTTCCTATTGGCCAACGATACCTGAATTGTAACTGTACTGTTACTTTTTTTTTTACTACAGCGTCTGTTGCACTGAATAATGTTTCCAGAGCACATTTTTTCCTAATAGATCCTATTTGTCCAGGAGGTAGAGAGAAAGATATGAGAGGATATTGATATGACCTCCAGCACTTTAATTATGGGAACATTTTTCCAATAAAGGCCTGTGGGGGTAACATTTCTTGTTAATTCTGTCACTAGCATGTGTGTGTGTGTGTGTGTGTGTGTGAGTGTGTAATGACTGCCAGTCTCCAAATATCATTGAGCTGTATGGGTTTCTTAAAAATTAGGGTGTTTTGGGGATGGCGGAGGGGTCTTTCATTTTATTGTGGCTGCAATATTGCCTGTGATTTCAAATGAGCTTTTCATTCTTTGCAGCAAGAGCTGAGCTATTGGATAAGTGGCAGCACAAAACATACATCTGCACTATCATCACAGACTCATTAAGTGGCCATTCAAATGGGTGGAATATGTTATATAAATTGGCAGCAAGTTACCAATGGATGAAGGTGAGTAAGAAGTCTGATTCTATGAACTTAAACTTGATAATTTATGTATGTGCAGGTGGCACTTTGTTGCTACAAAAAGCTTCCAAAATTCAGCAACTAGTAACCTGTTCTTTTACCTATTAATTTTCTTCATAGTAAGTGTCCACTGGCATTATATGTTGCTCAGGCAAGGTTTGTCCTAGGATGTTGACTATCTTGTTGAGATGGTCCCATAAAGCACTCCTTAACAAGTTGCAATCTTCATATTGCACACATTTCATTTTGTGCTTAAAAGTTCACAGCACATCTCTTGCAAACTTGCAAAAAGACACGTATCACTGAGGGTGCTGGAGTGACACTAAAGAATTTTCTAAAACAAGGGCTGATAATCATATCAGTCAGATGTGATGCTCTGTAATATTTTGATTTCAAGTCTACATGGACAAGGCATTCATTAGCTCTCTGTTTTTTATCTTCTGCATGTCATTAATCTTAAAACAGTCATTTATGCTTGTGTTACATGAGATTTTGATGTTGACTGTTAGGCTTAGTAGAAGGACACTGCTGACAATATGGAGCCAGGGCTGTAAGGGAAAACCTTACAAACTTTAAAAATGGTTTTGCTTCTGCTGCTTAGTGCTTCTGCTGTCAGTCTTTAACCTCTCACAGTCTTTGTTTTTCTGACGTCCTATTCCTGGTATGAGTAGTCCCCCTGAGGTGAGACTTCTTGAATACAGAATTGTCCATAGTTTTCTAAAATGAAAGCACAAACCTACAATCTGTATATAATGTCACTTTTAACAACATTGGATGTAAAGAAGCTTTTGAATTGCTTTAAATAAAATATACAAGGCTAGAATATATCATCTCTGTGTCTAGCTGACTCATTCCCAGCTTCTTACATTTGGGGCACTGAAGTCCTGCTTGACAGATGCTTCATTTCTGTGGAAATGTCCTTGAATGATGATAACCTTATTTCTGGCAGCCAAATAGGCAGTACACTACAACATTCCTGTGAACAGCTACATAGGATGTGTGTATCTGAGATTCACTCAGTTGTTAAGGTAGACTGCAGCAATTAGTGTTGTGCTGCAACAGAATGGATTCAGTAGCTTCACTGACAGCACCTCATTTTATTTCTTGAGGAAATCTATGTGCATCTTTCTTTAAACTAGGAAGAAGTTGGTCCATGTATTTTTGTCTCTCTCACAAGGCTTCTTCCTTACCAAAATTCAAGAGCTAAATTTTGCTATCTATGCTTTTTCCTCCTTTTGATTTTCTAAGAGTGAAGATAAAGAGCTTTTAGCTTGAGTAAAGGGTGCAGGATATGGCTTCAAATAATTGAAGTTCACATGTGTATAGCACAAAAATCTGCACTACAAAGGAAAAACAAAAACTTGCTCTAAATGAATGGTTCTGGGCAGACCCTGGAATATGTAATGAGTAGGATTTGGAAATCAATTTCAGTCGAAGTAGGATTAGGCCTTCCATGTGCATGTGAATACCTGAAGTTCAGTTTTCAAGGCTTTCAGTAGAATTAATCAGTTCTGGTTTAGCTTGTCTATTGGGGCACCGCTTCTTATCCTGGTTTCCTTGGGCCTACTTCTGCTCTGATTATTATTGGCTCAGACCTGCACTCCAAAGTGGATTTTCTTTGAATAACAGACTTGGAGGCAAAATAAAAGACCCACCACTTGCACTTGAAAAAAGTAAAAAGAAATTAAAATTATTTGAAGCCTAAATCTAAAGATATAGACAGATGTGACAATTGTGTTACCAAAGGAAACTAATATAAGCTATTACAATGCAACTGTTATATCTGCACGATTCTGTCATGATACATGTGTAGTCATGTTTCATTCAGTTCAAGGTTAGAGTGATTTAGCTAACTCAGCAATGCCAATAATATGGATTATGGAACTTCTCTATCTGACCTGCCTGGAGCTATGGCCTGCCATGGAGGCCCTTTGGCCCTTGCTGGCCATGGCCATCAGCAGCAAGTTTGCTTGTTGCTGCCATTCCTTGAGCATTGCTATGCATTCATACCCCCTCTCCCACACCCACCACCACCATCTCCAGACCCACTGCCACTGAGATGGCCACGGCAGCTGAACCCACATTCCAGGCTGGATCCATCCTTCAAGGAGTCCGATGGTCTGAATCCAGCCTGGGGTCTCAGGGGGGTTTGATATCTCTGAGTGAATTCATAGGACCCAGATATCAAGCAGATAGAAGTTACAGGGTAACAGCTGATTCTTGCTTCTGAGGAATGACGGGCCCTCCCTTTTAAAGTGGCTAAAATGTATGTTTGTCCATATTTGACTTGAGTTAATCAGTATCTTACTTTGCAAACACCCCATGTTAACTGCCTTGGGCTCTTTTACATTTCAGAGTTAGGGAAGTTACCAAGGATGCAACCCTTTCTAAAAGAAGACTCCCTGCAGAGTGATTTCAGGATATCCACTTTGTTTGGGATTTGAATTGCCTCCCTGTAAAGAAGAATGAACAAGCATTGCCTTGTTGATTGTCATGTAAACCTGAGTATCCATATGGCTCTTGAAATTCTCCATTTCATTTTGAAGGATTTTTTTTTCTTAAATGATTTCACTCCTGCTGTGTCTATTCTGGGATGCAAATGTGTTTCAGTATCTAAATAATCAAACAGTAACCAAGGTAAAATATGTATGTCCAGCTATTGTTACTGAAACAAAGGAGCAGAGTGCTGACAGAATGCCTCTAGTGAGCTTGTTCACATAACACAAACTTGGACACTGCCTGGGCCCTCACTTCCTTGCCTATGCTGCAAAGTGGCACATGTACAGAAGTGAGGAAGCTCCAAAGCTCTGACTTGGCTACAGATCTGGATATTCTCCTGAAGTCAGAGCCTATAGGAACAGGATCTAAGGCCCCTAGCACATGTTAAACTTAGACTGTCAGTTAACCACAACTCATGTTGAAATCTATTCACATGTGAAAGCAGTTAATGGCATGATAAAACAAGGAATAAGCCACAAGTTATTATGCAAAAAATGTGTAATCACTTTGTGACTGGTTCCTAGCATACCATTAACTGAATCTGTGGCCAGGCTGGAGCTCCCAGCCATAGGGATGTACAATATGGGAGCTTGCTAGTTGTCGGTGCAAGGGGAACCCAGGATCATGATCCCTGGCTCCTCCTGCACCAGCAATAAGATGTGATGGTATCTGATGCTGGATCCCACAGTCATACCTTCTCCCATGCACCTGTGGCATGGTAGGAAGTGTGATTATGGGGATCCTGCATCAAATTCCACCACACCTTTATTTATACATCTTCTAGAGGCCTAAAATAAAGATGGCCACTGATCTCACTGGATTTGGGTATCTCAGTTATACAGTTTCTGAATTATTTTTACACATTGTTAGCAACAGTTTCTTCCTTTTCTTCTTTTTTGAAAGAAAGATGTTTTTAGACTGAAAGAAGGCAGTTTCATATATTTGCTTTTGTACTAGTCCTATAAGGAAAAAATGTTCAGGCTTCATATGTTTAAAATGCTCGTCTCTTATAGCAGTTTTAGCAAATTTGAATATGATCTAACTGTATCTCCAAAATACAGTAGGCCTCCCACAGCTTGCTTTATTATGTTGCACACAAACATATATCATGTTACATATATCATGTTTCCTTTCCTACTTCAGTATTTATTTGCTTTTTAAGACCTGTACTTATGAATTTTAAGCAGTTGGTTTAGTTACTGTGAACAGTATATACAAGGTGACCTTACACTAACAAATTATGGGAATTCAATTTAATGTTCTGTACTAGGATCTTTGGAGAAAATAAGTATTGTAGCAGACCCTTATGTAATGTATGAGGAAATGCAAACCGGTGCTTATATGGCCATCCTGTAGTTGGACGTAAAGGATTACAGACTGTTAGGTTAAGTACAGACAGTCAAAACGCCCAGGGCTGAATCAATTCAGTCTTTGAATGTTAGTCTAAGCTGCCAAGATTAAACTGAGAAACGAGTAGACAGACATTCACTTTTGATTCAGGAAATGCAGCCACATACCTGCATGGCTCAGGCCAGAAGCCAGGGGATGCTAGACCACACCTCTCTGGCATATAACCTGCATAGACTGTGTGTTTGCTTCCTATTCTTGCTGCCCCCAAGGTCTCTGGGATTTGCAGTTCAGAATCACAGCAGAAGGACTCTGCAGAGTTGCTCATCTCTTCCTCTTCCTGCTTCCAGGTACCTCTGGGATTTGTAGTCTGCAGTCACAGCCAGCAGTAAGTTCTTAGCAGAGCAGGGCAGGGCAGTTCTGTACTCGGGGGAAGGGAAGTTTAACCCCTGGCCCTGGCCCTAAGCCGCAGCTGGGGTTTGCCTGGGGAGGGGGAAGTCCCTGCCCCACCCCCTCACAACCCTTCTCTGATGGAACAGGCAGCGCAGCCCAGCCCAGGGCTACAAAATGCTGGGATGCTGGGGGACTCTGTTTTAATTTGAACCAGGAAGGGGTGTGGAACAGAAGTTTCATAAACTGGTTTGACCCAAAACAGTTAAGTCTGATACTGCATTCAACCAGGTTATCTTAAACCAGTTTCAGCCATTTTGAAACTGCTTTATGTGCACTGAACTTCTGTTCTGTTACAGATTAAAACCAGTTTCTGATTACTTAATTCAGTTTGTGTGTAACTTCTGTCCCTAACCTTAGAGCTTATTTTTTTTGTTCAGTATATGAAGAAAAATCTTAATTACATGATTAAACACTTGATATTTAGGAAGAAGTAGGTGACTACATAAGTTTTGGTTGGATATTAAAGTTTGGATTCAATTAAACACTGAATCATAGGTAATTAGCTATTGAGTAGTCCCTTTGGCTTCAGTAAAATACTCACTTAATATTCATCATATGTATGAGTGCTTTCCTGGAGTAAGTTTGGAGAGCCAGATTGGTTTATTAACTGTCCCAGTTAATAGATTCATAGATTGTAAAGCCAGAAAGGGTCTTGGATGATCATTGGGTCCAGCCTCCTGCACCAA